GCATACAATCTTATCCCTCCAAAATCAATCTTCCTACTAAAATACTGTCACCTTCCAAAAGCATACATTCTACTATTAGCTCCTTCTAGTCCTGCACTTGTCTTGGGGCAATCGCTAGTACCAATACAGGCTGGGGGATCAAGGGATTGAGAGCAGCCCTGCAGAGAAAGACTTGGGGGCACTGGTAGATGAAAAGATGTACATGAGCCAGCAATAAGTGCTTGCAGACCAGAATGCCAAACATATCCGGAGCTGCATCAGAAGCAGAGTGGCCAGCAGGTCGAGGGAGGGGATTCTGCCCCTCTACTCTGCTCTGGGGAGACCCCACCTAGAGTACTGCGTTAGGCTCTGGAGTCCTCAGAACAAGAAAGACATAGACCTGTTGAAGCAGGTCCAGAGGAGGGCCACAAAAATGATTAGATGGATGAATATCTCTCTTATGAAAAAACTTTGAGAGAGCTGGGGTTCAGCCTGAAGAAGATGAGGCTCTGGGGAGACCCTATTGTAGCCTTTAGGTACTTAAAGGGGGCCTATAAGAAAGATAGGGACAGACTTTTTAGCAGGGCCTGTAGTGATAGGACAAGGGGTAAGGGTTTTAAACTAAAAGAGGGTAGATTCAGACTAGATATAAGGAAGAAATTTTTTCCAAATGAGGGTGGTGAAACACTGAAACAGGTTGGCCAGAGAGGTGGTAGAAGCTCCATCCCTGGAAACATTCAAGGTCAGGCTGGATGAGGCTCTGAGCAACCTGATCTGGTTGAAAATGTTGATGCTCACTGCAGGGGGGGTTGGACTAGATGACCTTCTATGCTTCTATGATTCATCACTATCTCAAATGAAAGGCAACACAACTCGCTGACACTGTAACACTGCTTCTTTTGATGCAGTGACAATAGTATATACAAGGAATTAAAAAAAAAAAAAAAAAGAGATTATTTTTATTAACATTCTTTGCCTATTACCTGATCATGAAGACTATGAAAAACTCTACAGGCTCCAAACAGTTATGATTTTCATGTAAATTTAAAGTGAATTCAAACTTTGAAAATAATTTAATTATTGGTCTGAGCTCTGCAATATTTAGAAACAATGTCACAGGAAATTTCATGGGGATGTTGGTTATTATTTCAATGGTAAGTAGATGGAAGGAAGTAGAACTAATGCTATCTCTTCAGTCTTCACTAAAGTTAAAAATCAGAGATTTTTTTACTTGTGGATACAAGCAGAATAGCGTAAGGTATTTCAAAGACATTTGTGAATCTGTATCAAATACATAAAAAACACAGTATCATTTCACATATCTTAAATGCAACACCCAAGCTGCAAATTCTCCTTTTTTTTTTTGTTTTTTGGTTTTGCTTTTATGTTAATCATTTACCCCATACATGAGACATTATCAAAGTTGATTATCAGGTACTGGTTTGAGACTTCTCTTCACTGACTTCTTTCATTTATTTTACATGTTTAGATTCTTCAGGGTAAAGAACACGTGCTGCATACAGTGAAAATACTGTTTCATATCAAGTCCCATCTGTTATTGTCATTTGTATTCCAAAACAGAACTTGAAATTGTTACTACAAACAACATTGGTCAGCTTTCATATTTCTGCTAGAATTATATACTAGGAAAGTAGAGCATGAAAGTCTGTTCTCACACTTCTACAAGTATGCACAGGAATCAGTGACATTTTTGTATCAGAGAATCAGGATCCGCTCTCCTTCAGGGATGTGTGCAGATATGGAGGTGTCCAAAATCCATTTTATATGCGATTACAGCAAATCAAATTCAATCACTACCCTTCCTTCTGTTCTACAAAAGCAACTCTTCTCCTGCCTCCTCTTTTTACTGGGAAAAGGTCCAGGCATGCTGGATGCACAGAGGTCTGTAGGTACACACCATTTTGAATCACAGTCAAAAAGGGCATGGCCAGGTTTGCATGTTAGTGGAAGGATATGCAATGCTGGGGAGTTTTGGACTAGAAGCACGGAGACAGAGTACATGTGCCAAACAGAGAGTTTTGGCTTAACATTGCAACAGCAGATGAAGCTCTGGTCTTGGACTAAACCTCCATTTCCATTTTCAAATCTTTAAGGGTGAGTCAAACACCTTCTGTCATACATAATCATCACTTACTCAGGCTGACCCACTCTCATGTATTTATGGGTTATAAAGCCATAAAGGGATTATAGAGGTCATCTAATGTGACCTCCTGGAAAACTTTCCATTTGAACTTTCAACAGAAGCCAGAGGAAGGGGAAAGACCCCTTTATTTCAAACTCTCAATGAAAGAGGGGCCACAAACTGTGTGGCAGATTGTTCCAAAGGATAACCGATAAAAGGAGAGAGGGAAAAGGCTTCTTTGCTTCTGGTTTGAACTCACTTGGTTTCAACTTTCAAACACACATTTCTGATGTACTGAAAATCCTTTACTAAAGCTATATTTTCCTAAGAGACAGTTATAGAGCTCTTACTCATTAATATTATCCTCCTTAAGCCCAGCAGGGTTATTTCTTTGATCTATGACTTTGGTGTGTATTTTCCATTCTTTTGGACATAATAATTTAAAAATTCAGAAAAGCTTATCTCCTGGTTATAAGATCTATCTATCATTTGAAAGAAAACAGTCTGAATCCATGCAGGCTAAGAATGATCTCACATTCAGCCTTCTTCCTTATCCACATGAGGTATGCTCACATTTTAGCAAAACAAGAATAAAATGATTGAGGAGCTACATACTAAAAGTAATAAAAGTATAATTAAAAAATAAGACCAACACTTCTGTGTTTTTTAATCATCATCATGTTAATATTACAGACTATGTTGCAAACTCATATTCTTCAATTCACTTTTTTCTTCTCTTTCTGTGTGCAAAACATTGCTGTATTATTCAAGTTATTCAATAATTTAATCACTGCCAGTTTTGTTCCCTATTCATCTAATTTGATAGGAATGCATAAGCCAAGGCTTTGTCACCCTAGAGCTGGAGGACCACAGGGCAAAAACAGCAGCATATTTTATAGCTCAGGAACATATACAGTATTTCAGAACGCTTATTCAACAGTCAATAAAAATTCTCCCATGAGCAATACACATAGAGCTCTTTCATTGGCAAGAGCAAAAGAAATCACACAACTGCATTTATTCTCATTCTTTTTATCTTCCACACACAGTATGTCAGCACACTGGCAGAAACTGAATATAGGTTTTAGTTTAGTTGTATTATTCAGTTGAACCACAGTTCAGAAAATGCTACAGTAACACATCTAGACAGTTCAATCATCTGCAGTTTGAATTAAGAATGTAACACTGTCCTACATAAGCAGTGGATAGATTTCAGGTTTCAACTGCACCAACATTTTTAGCTTGTTTTTGCGATTTGCTTTCATTTTCAATTTATGATATAATAAAGTTATTCTAGGAGTATTCCAAACATAAGTCAAAGACTACAATTGTAACCTTTGAACCAAGTGTAGTCTTTGTGTGTCAGAAAGATGACCTTTGACTTGAAATATTTAAGGAGTAGGGAAACTGTTGGTTTTAATGCAAAACTATTAGGAAAAACATGACGTAAATACTGTTATGTTGCTCCAAAATGTAAATCACAGAGCAGAAAAATGGTGGACAGAGCCTCACATAAACTGCCTCAATTCCAGGAAAGGTCAAGTTGGAGAGTAGAGCAGACCAGACATTCTCCTTCAGAACGCACATAATGGAAGTACATAATTCCTTAATATACAGCAACTCCATATAAACTGAATGACTTACTATGTATCCTATTCCCTTAGTAGCATGATTGTTCAAAAGGTTTGTCAATTGCTTTTTTAAGCAACAGCTATGAATATGCAAACATGATCTTCTGCTAGAAGACTGTATATTTTGCTATTTGATTATCTGGAGTAAAAATTCTGAATTAGCCAGCCAGAAAGATAGTATCTCATAATTTAACCAGAACAGAGAAATTTTGTAGTTTATATAAGGAAATTAGAAAGAAAATACTTATTCCAATATTAAAAGAAAAGTATTTTTTTAAGAAAAAGAAAAAGAAAAAGAAAAAGAAAAAGAAAAAGAAAAAGAAAAAGAAAAAGAAAAAGAAAAAGAAAAAGAAAAAGAAAAAGAAAAAGAAAAAGAAAAAGAAAAAGAAAAAGAAAAAGAAAAAGAAAAAGAAAAAGAAAAAGAAAAAGAAAAAGAAAAAGAAAAAGAAAAAGAAAAAGAAAAAGAAAAAGAAAAAGAAAAAGAAAAAGAAAAAGAAAAAGAAAAAGAAAAAGAAAAAGAAAAAGAAAAAGAAAAAGAAAAAGAAAAAGAAAAAGAAAAAGAAACTCTATAGATTATCTGCATGGTTAGGAATAACATTACACTGTTCCCTTTTGCTTTCACCTTTCCATCTAATTACAGCTCTTGTTTCCACAGTAACGGACTTTCTTCATTGTCATACCGTAATCTTTTTCTATTCAACTTACTTGTGTAATAAAAAATTAAAATGGAAAAACAAAATAGGAAAACAGGCTCACTTTGTAGTTATAGAATACTTGCCCTGTGTGAGGAAAAATATAAGAAAAGAGAAACATAGGAAAGAAACATCAGAAGTGGGAAAGAAAGAACTCCAAAGTATTCAGATTTTTTTTATTTATTTATTTCAGATTTCTATAAGCTCCACTGCATTTTGAGAAATACCGGACAGTGTTCAAATATAATCAAGAAGACCTATAGGCAGCTATTATGACCAAGATGAAATAGAAACCCTTAGTAGAGATTATGCATGAAAATTTAGGTCTGATGAGATGAATTACCTTTCAGCACATTGACTGCTTTGTCTTTTTTTTTTTTTTTCATTTAAAATTTAGAATCTCTATGTCTGTCTTATTACCTTGGAAAGTAGCAATTCTTTTCAGTTCCAGAGGAATCTAGAATTAATCCATCTCTAAATGAATTTTATGCTTACAAAAGATGATTAGCCAGGCAATACATATTCAGATATTTTAGACATTAAAGGCTGATTTACCTTGTCACCTTCAGAGAAAGTTATTCCATCAATGGCCCTTTTCCAAGTAATCTCTGGGATAGGTTCTCCTTCTGCTTCACAGATGAGGGTAGCTTTCCCATTCTCAAATGTGGTTTCATTTTTAAGTTGTATTATTTGAGGCTGTACTGTTAAAAATACAAATTGCATTACTCATCCTGCACAAAGACTTTTAAAACACTTTTTTTTTTTTTTTTGTTAAAGCATTTTCATTGTTTTATACTTAGGATTAACTAAAGGTTTAACATTACCATCTATATGAGCAACCAGCTTTTCTCACTTCAAGTTGTACAACAACCATTTCTCCATGTCTGACGACCTGGACTCCTGTCTCAGCATAGCTGACATCCCCAGGGCTGCCTGCTCCCTTGCTGGGGTAGTGTGGAATGGATCCTGGATGACAAGGCCCTTGCTCTGGTGGCTATGTTTGTGTGCTTTGCTCCTGGTTCACTGTCCTTTAGGGACCAACCAGCCCTCACTACTCTCTGGCATTTCAGGAATGAAGCAAAGAATGATTGATTCCATGCTGATCCTGCACCTGTGCAGGAATAACTCCATGTACCAGTACAGGCTGGGTGCTGACTGTCTGGAAAGCAGAACTGCAGAGAAAGCCCAGGGGGTGCTGGTGGACAAGTAGTTGATGATGAGTGAGCAATTCACTGGAATAGAGAAGTCTCCAGGGATCTTAGACGTGTAGAAACACCTGATAAAGGTGAGTAGACATAGGGCCAGAATCTTCTCAGTGGTCCCCAGTGACAGTGCAAGAGGCAACGGGTACAAATTGAAACAGAGGAAGAGGAAAAATCTTTTTTACTGAGTGAGTGACTAAAGAGCAGAATAAGCCACCCAAGATATCGTGGAGCGTCCATCCCTGAAGATATTCAAAACCCAGATAGACATGGTCCTGAGACACCTGCTCTGGCTGACCTTGCTATGAGCAGGAGGTTGGAATAGATGGTCTCCAGAGGTGCCTTCCTGTCTCAGGCATTCATTGATTCTACAAAAATCTGTGTTTGTCTTCAAATACAAATTATTTGGAAAAAAATAAAGAATTATTAATATTCTTGGACTTTGATCTTTAGCAATATCTAACTGCCTTGCACAAATTACTGAATTTAAAAAAATATCTTGATAACAAACACATTGTACTGGTATTAACGTTATTAAGAGGTGAAGAGTCCTCCCATACAAAGCTATTCATCCTTACTTACCAAGTAAATTGGTGGTAAGACACATTTTAAAAATTCCAGATATTGTTTGTATTCTTTAAATAATTCCACTTTACACCACAAGTACACAGCAATTACAGTTCTCAGTCTATACTGTACCTTGCCAGGTTATTTACATAAGCAATAAAATTTCTGGTTACATGTGACCACTTTTATTTAGATAACTTATCTGTACAATATCATACAAGAACTCTTTTGTAGAACCATGCATAGAATATTAATCTTCCATATCATTCAAGTAACTTCATTTAAAAAGTTTGGTCCTACATATTCACTCATACATAACCATTAATAAGTTTCTCTGAACCTATCCACTTCACATATTGAATGAGACACTCATCCCACTGAAAAACATAGCATGTAATCATGTAATAAGAATATGATTCAATATTTACACCCAAAAGCAGTGAATTAAGTTTACATGACTGAATTAAATTTTGGCAGCTCTTGATATTGAGTTTGTCTACATTAAGGACATTTGTTGAAAACAATATATTTTCTGTGTAGTTATCCTGAGTTTTGCTTTTGAGGAAGCACTACTAAATTATATTTTACGTGAAGCAGAAAATAAACAGAGAGGTGACCTATTTTCTAATGGGGTTACTAAAGTATATGCTATGCAGAAGAGTAATATTGGCTTATGTTAGTAGCTCAAAAGGGTAAAGATTATCTTTCAGGTTGGAAGGGATTCCATAAGGTCATCTTGACCAATTTCCTCCTCAACGCAGGGTTAACAGACCCTGTTCAGACTAAATTGCTCAGGGATTTGTTGAGCACCATCTTGAAAAATGCCAAGAGCAGAGACTGCACAGTTATTCTCATCAGCCTATTGCAGTGCCTGTCTGTCCCAATGGTGAAGAATGTTCTCCTTATGCCTAGTCTCCTTTTTCTTTTTATGACCACTATGTCACTTATGACCATTGCCTCACAGAGGCTGCATTCAGCATCACCAAGAAAAGTAATAAAAATGGGTTCAAACTTGCTATATCCAGATACATTACCCACCTCTCTTTTTTCCATTTCCACTACATCATTCCTGGTCTCACCTCTCATTCCTTATCTCCATACTCCTTTTGTTGCTTGTTTACTGTCTGTTCACAATTTGAATATTACAAATAATCTATTGTGTGTTTACTGCATAGAGATGAAACCAAGTAATCTTTTAACAAAGCACTGCACTAATATCTTGCTTCATTAAGATACAAGCTATGGTGAGTGACATCATGTGCAGAAAGAAAATACCCTGAGCGATCAGGGGCTCTTGAAGTGTCAACTGGATCCAGCTTTATTGGATGCAGTAAATGGTTGTAAACAAAAGATTACAGCAGGACAGCAATTTGACTGAGAAAAACTGAAACTCTCCTCAGTGGTATAACAAGTCAGTGGAAGAACTACAAAAAAGAATTTGAGGTAAAAGATAACTATGTCAAACTCCAAAATAACTTCAGTTATTACTCTCACTTTCAGGATCATCCAAATGCCTACTAAATATCTTACCTTGTTACTCAGGTACTCTATTTCTATAGACATGTCTCCTGGTTACAATATAATCTGTTCTTTCCTTTCTTTCCTTTGATAAAATAACATCCCTGGAAACAAGGAAAGAGCTATGGCAGATACACCACTCATAAAAAAAAGCATCATGCATAATATTTTATGTGAGAAGTTTGCAAAATATGAAATGAAATTATTTCCATCAGAACAAAAAAAAATTTCCGTCTGGACAACATGACAAACAATATGATCTGCTTGGATGATGCATGTTCTAAAAAAGATAACTAATATTCTTTAATTTTTAATTGCAGACTTATATTTTGTATTTCTTTAAGGTCTTCATCAAATGGATGACTTCAAGACAAAAGTTTTAGTTTGACATTTTAGACATGAGCAGCTGACATTTAGAATCATAGAATCATAGAATGGTTTGGATTGGAAGGGACCTCAAAGATCATCTAGTTCCAATCCCCCCGCCTTCAGCAGGGACACCCTCCACTAGATCAGGTTGCTCAAAGCCTCATCCAGCCTGGTCTTAAACACTTCCAGGGAGGGGGCATCAACAACTTCCTTGGGCAACCTGTTCCAGTGTCTGACTACCTTACAGTAAAGAACTTTTTCCTAATATCTAATCTAAACCTGCCCTCTTTCAGTTTAAACCCATTTCCCCTTGTCTTGTCATTAGTAGCCCTTATGAAAAGTCCCTCCCCAGCTTTCTTGTAGGCCCCCTTCAGGTATTGGAAGGCCGCTATGAGATCTCCCCGGAGCCTTCTCTTTTTCAGGCTGAACAGCCCCAACTCTTTCAGCCTGTCTTCATTTAACCTGATTAGGTTTTTTATTATAAGGTATATCAACACTCTGGAGAAGTAACAATGAAGAAATACATGCTTAGGCCTAAGAAAATAAAGATTATGTAGGAAGCCTTTAAGGGATTGAATTTTTTTGACCACTCTTAAATCAACTGCTTATTATTATGTTATTTTGGAATTTTTTTTTTATTGGGGTGCCTATAGCTGGAAAAATGTGGTATATCATAATTCAAAATGCTAATTCATATGTATCTAAACACACAAACAAATATATTTATGGCTAATTACATCACAAAATAAATCAAAGAAAACAATGAAACTGAATAGTATGAGTGAAAGATATAAAAAGTTAGCTACCAAGCAGAGACAAATACTAAAAAATATTTTTAAAGAATTCAAGGAAGAATACCTATGGTTTCAAGACATTCAGAAGGACTAAACATAAATGAAATTGTATAAAAAAACCTTAGTACAAGTCCTAAACAGTAAAATGGATGAGATCTTTTAGGTAGGAATGGATAATGACATGGAAATAACTATAGTAGATAATAGGATGACAGTCAGAGATTACCAAATCATAATCAGTAAGAAATCCTCAAAGGGAAACAGGGCTTTCTTTTCTCCTCTATGTGTTATTGGGTAGAACAGATAAAAAGCACTAACAAAAATGAAGAACTGACAAGAGCAGAGTGTTTGCCTATAGGTTTCTATACATGTGTTAATGTTGCAGAAAAAACTGTCAGAGTAAGAATCTCATATGAGGACAAAATAGCTTTTTTAATATTGATACTGGAAACAAACAAAAAAAAAGGTTAAACAAAAAAATCTAGGTCATACATGGAAGCCAAACATATGCAGCTGTTATATGGCACTAAGATGGGCATGTCCATTTGGAACTGCAGAGTACTAGAAATTTTAAATGCTGAATGCTATAATGTTACTGTTATTTTTATTGCATTATAGCAATATACTGTTATTACAACTTTCAACTCTGCCAGAGCCCTGTTTTGCAGAAACAATAGTTGTTGCCCCAAGGAGTCTGCATTGCAAATTAAAATTAAAGATAGTAGGTATGTAAGACAAGCAAACTAATGGAGTGGGAAAGAAAAATGTAATTTAATAGGTCATTTTAACGCATACTGGATGTTGGTGTACTGTTTAGCTATAATAATCAGCCATCTGCCTTGCCATTTTCAGACTGCAGTTTTTTGAATACATTTAAGGAGGAGAAAAGCATAGTAAGTTGTTGCTATATGTATGACTAAGTTTAATCTGTGTGAAAGAGAAAGAACAAAACGTTCATTGTAGGAGAAAATACAACTCTGCTCCACATTTTCAGAGTTTACAAAGTAGAGATGAACTTTGTAAAGACAATATTAGACTAAAATTACACTAAATTTAGAGGTTACAAATAAGGTAAGAGGCTTAATTTCTGCTACTATTCCCTAAGGTCAAACTAACAGTACACAAATTATTATAATCAAATTTAAATATATCCAAGAGTAAAGCACACAGGAAAAATAACTCTAAATATACAAATTCAATAATATGCTCTAAATTAGCTATAACCACTCAGGAAAGAGACCTGTGAGACACTGCACTGCATACAGTTATGTGGAAACACCAGTTCAGTACCCAGAGAGAGCCAGAGAGGCAAACAGAGTGTGATGGGTGGCACCAAGATCAAAGCAGAAGCAGAGCTGTGCTGCTGAACAGCCAGGTTCCCCCCATGACACGAATCCTGAGTGGCATTCTTGCACTGTCATCTCACAAAGAGCGGATTATAATCAGAAAGGTACAGGAACAGCTGTGGTTCAGAGATTCATAATGGTTTCCACAGTAGGAGAAACTAAATAGACTGGAAACTTACAACCTAGAAAATAAATGAACTAGTGAGATAGAAAACTACATTTGATGTAAAGAACATGAGGAACTATTCTTAACTTTTTATCTTAAAATGAGAATTATGAGACAAAGAAATGAACAGGCTCCAAACCTAAACATAACAAATACTTTGTGCAAGAAAGAAAATATTTAAGGAATTTAGGAGTTTAGGATGTCATGGGAAAAAAAAAAAAGGATTAAACAAACTCATGATACCTATTAAATAATTTGGTTTTAGCTTTTCAGGGAGTCTTTAGAATAGTAGTTATTAAAAGATGGAAGAATGTATACAGGAAATACTCAGTCTAGTGTCTCCCTTTGCCTGTTCCTCACATTAAAAAGTTACCTTGCCCTAGGCAAAAACTAAGTAAATTTTGGCCATATTTAAAATTACTTGAAGAACAAAATTATTCCTGTCTGAAACTTCCTTTAACTCATATCAAAACTAGAAAGTCTTTTCTAGTCCTTCAAATATATTTTTTTTTTCAATTCTGGAAATATAATTGAATAAAATGTTTTGGTTTTCCACAAAAAACTTCAAGATACCATGTATCTTGAGGCCGTGAAGAAGTTTAAAATTATATTTCATCTTCTTTCCTTTGAAAAGGAATTAAGAATAACTTTCAAACACCTCAGAACAACAGTACGTAATCCATGTGGAGTACGGAAGACTGGAGACACCACAGCATGGAGGGTTACAAAGAGTTTCCCAAACAGGAAAGACAGTGGAAGGCAAGCAGACACAGCTAACCCATTTAGCTGACACCATGGCTTCAGCCTCAGGCTCCTAGATCCCACATGACAGCATTATCCAACCCAACAGCTTGGCTCTTGCAGTGCAAGTTACCAGATTAGCCTCTTCTGTTAGAACAGTTTCCCCTTGTATAAATTACTATTAGTTTTAACTGGGACCTAAAATTTAATTTCCCATGGTACATACTTTAGCTCTTCAAACATAAATGGCCTTTCTCTTTACTCCAAGCCACAGTTAATGTGAAAATACCCCAACACACTTTTTTTTTTTTTTTTTTTTTCAGCTTTTTCATAAATAAGCTACAGCCTTTATCCTGCACACTGGTTCTGGGAGGTTTTCTACATTCTCACAGATGCCTCCTCTCACTAGGTTATAGCTACACGAAACTTCAAAGAAATTATCAGTTCTATGTAAAGGAGAGACTCCTGAACACAGCATGGGTGCTAGAGCATATAAAGAGAAATCAGAGTTCTCATGTTATTATTTTTATCCTTTGAACCTCAGATCAGATAATATTTTCATGACTACATCTGTAATCATGTACTTAAAATAAAAATCAAGAAAGAAAAACAAATAAAAGATCAGAAACACCTCTGCATGGTGTTTTCTTATAAAAAACCCCACTGCTTAGAAGTCCAAATAAACTGTTTTTTCCCCTTTCAGAATTTTCCATTTTTTCTCCACTTGGTTTTCTTGGAAGCAGCCAACTTTTAAAGGAAAACCAGAATAAATTAACAATTTCACATTCCATTGTACTGTATCTGAATAATAGAAAAGCAAATGCTGAAGACAGCTTTTTCAAAATGAAATCTAGTTATAAAGGTTAAAGTAGCCAAAAGGAAGAAAAAAGCTGTAAAATTATACAAAGAGTGGTTTGCTGCATCAGTAGGCACACTGCAGGACTACTGTTTTACTGAAAATTGTGAATTATAACCTCAGTTCTCTATTGTTTACATTTAAAAAGGAAGGATGGAAAATACGATGCAGTACTTACCAAAAACTTGAAGGAATGTCTGTTTTTTATCATTTCCTGCTTTGTTTTTAGCACTACAAATATAAGGACCCGCATCAATATTTTTTATATCTCTTATTGTTAGTTCTGTATTGCTTCCTCTTAGCATATATTTTTCATTTTCTTCAATAAGTTTACCATTCCTAAAAAGATAAAAGTTATGTATAAATCAACCAGTAGGATCTAAATTCTGAAACAATGGTATGGAGGAATTAATATGTTTAAAATAATCTTTGAGAGAAGAGACTGCTATTATGCTGTCCTCAAAAATGCATTAACTCCTGTGGCATAAATTGGCAGTGTATATAAGAGAGTTGATTTTAGCATGACAAAAATTGTTCTGCAGGATTACAGTGTTTTTTCAAAAGAATGCGCACAGTCTAGACATAAGCAAAGCATTCTGGACTGCAATTTGATGTTCAAGACCCCAGCTTCCCAATTTTATTGCCAGGTTCTGAAATATATACATAATAAAAATACTATAATAACTTTATTCATAAATTTTCAGTATTGACTTAATGTTAGAAAAATGCCTGTGAATAGAACTTAACATATCCCTTACACACAAGAAAGGACGGAAAGAAATTGGTTAGACAAATACACACTTGTATGTGAGAAACATTTAAAAGCCTATTTTCAAAGTGCAACTGATGTGGTTCACATTAGTAACAATGTACTACCTTCTAAAAAAATATTTTAAATTATTTACATGTAGAGCCTATTGGCACAGAAAGTCTTCCTAATTATTTTCTCTCAGTTCTTGTTGGCTAGTAAGAACAGTAAGCAGGCATGTCTCCAGTTGTTAGATCTGACCAGATGGTACAGAAATAATAAAACCTGTGAACAATTCTGAGGGCTGATCAAGGCTTGACTTGTCCATTTCAGCACCTTGGCATACACACAGTTATCAAAACAGCTTATTTTTCAAAAGTGCAATCCTTTTTTTTCTTCCTTTTTCTTCGCATTCCTCCTTGTTTGCTGTTAGCTTCTTCTGAGCTTATTTCTGTGGAAGCATCAACAGTTTCTTCTCATAAGCATCTACATAAAAACTGCCTGGTTTTCATAAGCATTGACAATCCTGCTGACAATGTCAACTTCTTTAAAACAAACAATTTGTAAAATGAAATCAATACACATAACTGAAATATTCTATTCTAAATGTTTTTTGGTTTTTTTTTTTTCAGAATATTACTTTCTGTTAATAGGATTCCCCTGGCACCTATATAGCTTGTATTTTAGTAATAGTTCTGTAAATAACTTCAGTCTGCTTATCTGTTCACTTCATTATTGTGATACTCATTCATCTCCTTCCCAATACAAATCACAGAAATTTTTTTGCAGAGCAGAAAAGGTCTAATTTTCCACACAGGTGGTTTCAAAAAAAAAAAAAAAAAAATCTAGTGATTTCTGTTAGGAGATAAAAGTTACATTCAAGGTCAGAAGTAGTTTCCAAATGCCTGTAATCACAAACATTACCTATATCTATGACAATTTCTAAGTAGAAATGAGATTACGAACATTTCCCTGGACCCTCTAGGGAACACAAAACATTCAGACTGATGTTAATATTGGAAAACATGAATAACGCATTAAAAGTGGATTATTTATTCTTCCAAATAATTCTAACCATAAACAAATTCTGTCAATAAAGATAAGAGGATTGATCCACCTAAACACTGCTAGTATAAATTATCTCCACAGTATATCTCCACAGTACTATCTCCACTAGTATAAATTATCTCCTCTAAGTCACAGGAGGGAGACACAGGGAAAGGCAGAATGAAGAGCAGCCTACTGTAGGATAAGATCAGGTTTGAGACCATCTGAAGAACCTGAAGGTGCACAACTCTATGGGACCTGATGAAGTGCATATGCGGGTCTTGAGAGAACTGGTGGATGAAGTTCCCAGGCCACTATACATCACATTTGAGAAGTTGTGGCAGTCTAGTGAAGTTCCCACATACTGGAAAAGGGGAAAAATAACTCCCATTTTTAAAAAGGGAAATAAGGAGAATCTGGGAAACTACAGGCCCGTCACAGTCTCACCTCTGTGCCTGGCAAGATCATGGAGCAGATACTCCTGGAAACTACGCTAAGGCACACAGGAAGCAAGGAGGTGACTGGTGACAACCAACATGGCTTCACTAAGGGCAAATCATGCCTGACCAATCTGGTGGCCTTTTATGATGGGGTTACAACATTGGTCAATAAGTCTAAAGCAACTGATGTCATCTACCTGGACTTGTGCAAGGCATTTGACACTGTCCTGCACTACATCCTTGTCTCTGAGCTGGAGAGGCATGGACAAGATGGATGGACTACTCAGTGGCTAAGGAATTGTCTGGTTGGTAGCACTCAAACAATTGTCAACAGCTCAATGTCCAAGTGAAGATCAGTGAAAAGTGGTGTCCCTCAGGGGTTGGTATTGGGACTGGCTCTGTTTAACATCTTTGTCAGTGATATGGACAGTGGGATTGAGTGCACACTCAGCAAGTTTGCCGATGACACCAAGCTGTGTGGTTTGGTC